CCTTTGTAGCATTAACATTTAATGGCATTTAAGAGCCTGCAAAGCCTGAAGTATTGCATTTGTAGGACATTAAAGGAAGCACCAAACGTGAATCGTGGACTTATTTCAACCGCAGCCGCCTAATCTGTTCACTGTTTGTGCTGCAAACACACTTAATAATGCGACAGGGACGGCGATGTCCCATCATGCCCTGCAGGCAGCAGACGTCCCACCAGCTCTGCTGTGTCTTACTGTCACTGACGACCCGGAGGGAACAAAAAGCACTTCATCGCTGCTGGGAGGGGGGGGGTCATATTCTTCTTCTTCTCTTCTGGTCGATTTCAGCGCCCGCTGCGATGGCCCAACAGTTCAAATAAGAAAAGACTTGAAGCGGAGCTGGTGCTTCAAACTGTGGAGATTATTTCTGTGTGTCTGCGAGTTAATGAAGACCACCCACTGTGTCTCACACATAAAGAAAAACGAGGGTCTGAGATCATCTAAAGGACAGCGCTGCTCAGAATAGCTCCATGATTATTAAACAAGTGCTCCCTCCTTCCTTCCTTCTCCGCCTCCTTCCTCTCATCTCCATTTAGCCTCGTTCTCTCCGCTTCCCCATCAGCCTCGCCTCGCTCGGCGCCTCGCTCGTTCTGTTCGTCTCATCCTGAACTCGTGTAGACGTCGTGTTTGTTTGCAGGGCGTGAGCACCGAGTGGGGATCGTACAGGCTGTGAAGCCCTTTGAGACTAACGTGATGTTGTGTGACACAGATTATTAGACTTGCAGACTCCTTCCTCGTGTCTGTCCTCATTCTCTGTTTAAACTATAAACACCGCCTGGTACCACTTATCAGTTTTTGGTGTGCAAAGCTAAATCCAACCATCAAAAGCTGGATTTCTCCAAGGCCCGAGAAGAAACCAGAACTGCAGTTCCACTAATGTCCACTCGAGGCTGCAGCCAAACAAGGAGAACAAGAGACGGGATTAAAGCAGAAAGTTCGTCATGGCTGTAACTGTAACACAACATCTAAGAAGTCATTGTTGGTCAGAATGAATGCAAACACTTGCAACAGGAAGTCAGAGATGACTATTTTATGTTCTGGTCACCTGGAAGAGGCAGCCTGTCTCCAACCAGCAGGGTCAGGCAGTCACTCTCAGACCGATCGCCAGCGTTTTGCAGTCAGTCGAGCCTGATTTAGACTTCGGTGACTCTTTGTACAGCCCACCATGTAACCTACGTCAGTGTAAGTAAGTTGTGTTAATTACTGTGTGATCGCGTCTCGCCAATCACCACAGAAATACATTTAATTCATTCCCTGGACTTTGATTACAGTGGTGAGTCCTCATTGATATTAGGATTATTACTTCTGATGGTTTTTATTGATAAATTAAAAAATCATTGCAATAAAAGCACATGAGGACTCAGCGGTACCAAACAGACCAATCACAACAGTTTTGGGCCGCATTGACCTGACGTGCCGTTACGTTTCTGTAAGTGTGAGCAAAGCTACGCCGCAGGTCACGTCGCTGGGGTTGGCAAAAGGTTTGCGGTTAAGACGCAGCATAAAATCCCGGTCAGTTTACATCTGGATCACGTCTCTTTGCAGTGGAGGACTCAGCTGAGTCATTATCTAGTTAAACTGCTGTCCTGCAGCTTTTACGTCACTATTTGCAGATTTTTGAACTTCTGGTTCAGATCTGTGAGGTTCTGGCTGGATGCTGGATGTGATACCTGACAGATGAGCCAGGTTGACTCATTCGGTTGCAGACTGATAGCAGACTGACTTTAACAATGAATGCTGAGTACAGAGGATGAGAACAACACCT